CACACACACACACACACACACACACACACACACACACACACACACACACACACACACACAATATATGTAGTAGGATTTTTATACATTGCCAATGCATTCTGCATCTGTGGTGAACACAAGTATGGTAACAAGAACGCAATGTTATTATCTATGAAGCTTTGCATAACAATTAAGTAGGCTCTGGCTTTCTCGAACAAAATTATCATTATGAACATGTTTTGGAACCTGAATGCGTGTGATGATTCGATAGAGATTGCAACTCACAGTTGGCATCATTTTCCATGAAGCATCCAGTCGTTCCTATTAGATTGAATCACTAGCGATGATATCTGCAACTTCGATGTTTCAGAAAGGATGGGGACTGCGTGGTCTCGCATACGCTTTTACTGGTTCGGTCGTAAACCTTGCCGGATTCTTATGGTAATCTCTCTTTCCATTCTGTGCATTTGATAAAACCACTCAGGTATTTGATCGAGGGTCATCAACATAGCTTGTATGGGATGTGGTGCTTATAAACACTTGTGCAGTCAACAGAAAGCATGTAAAGGAGTAAGGGATGCCACCACATTCAGAAGAGTTGAACTCGTCACTAGTCCTGGAGAATAATGAATTTCTTCTAAAGCAAGAAATTATCCTACTGAAAGGAGTGCTTTCGAAAAACAGCAAGATTGAACAAGTGCGAATTCAAAAAAAAAACCAATGATTTGTCAGGTTGGCCTCGATAATGCTGGAAAAACCACACTTTTATACAAACTCAAACTTGGCGAAGTGATCACTACGATTCCAACAATCGGTGAGTGAGTTAGTGAATGGAAATGGAGAATTGGATGATGTTCTTTTTTTGCTCAGAACTAAGGTTTAATTATGAAAGGTATGGAACAAAATGAGCCGAATTGCAGTATAGCCCTGACTCATCTTCTAGGTGCCTCTCGCATTCCATTGAATATTTCGAAATGTGCCAATTTCCATCTATTTCGTACACTTGTGATGTTTATTTATTTATTTATGAGCCTGATGGGTGTTCTCACACAGCGCATCACTAATACATTACTATTAAGAAGTGGCCACATTTCGTACATAGTATACAAAGATATTGCATGTATCATAGCGCCTTTGTTGACTCCATCATCCAGTAAACAGCTCGAATACGTCTTCAGAAAATCTCGCGCACCTCGTATGACTACAGTGCGTAAATAGCGATGGAGTAATGAGAAGGCGGCGTCCGTATACTGAGGAACCAATAGAAGTTCCCTAGCCACATAACATCGAGGTATCAGAAGCCAAAAACTGTTATTTGAGTGTGTATGAGTGTACCAGTCGGATTGCCTGGCTCACCCCGGACTTTACATTACTCGAACTCAAGAGGCTCCTCCTCTGAAGAGTCTAGTCGCGCTAGGGACGTCCTAGCGCTCGTTTGAC